TAATGGTTGTATTGATGTATAGCAACTTGAAATGCTCCCAAAAATGGCTCCACAGCATGTAAACATATAATATAAGCTCTGGTAGGTGGTTCTATGGTAGGTCTTAAAGGGTTAAACCAGTGCAGTGACATCCTTGTGCTCCATCAGCCGTGTCTGAATAGGGCCCGAGGTGGGTGGGTGACCCTCCGACTGCCCTTCATGCTAAGCCAGTCGCACTGACTGTGAGCAGCAGCGTAACCTTGTGCACTCTCTCCTCTGTCTCCTGGTCCTGCAGCTGGAGAGTTTGAACCAAAGCGAGCTAGCATCGCGACTAACGCTCAACTGTCAGAACTCGTATGTGGAGCCACACAAGATAAAGGACGTGGCTGTGACCATCATAGATGTAAGTGTTGAACCAGAGTTCTCATGAAGTATAGCAGAACGTTCAGCTGTGTTCCTGCTCCTGACGTGGTGTTTCCTCTGGATGTTGAGGTGTTTGATCAGAGCGCTCTGTCACTGGAAGCCAAAGAGGAGATGTATAAGCTGTATCCCAACGCCAGGAGAGCGCACCTGAAAACGGGAGGGAACTTCCCGTACCTGTGCAGGAGCGCTGAGGTCAACCTCTACATACAGGTAGGCTCTGTTTCCTGTTTCCACTTCGTTCTCGTCTTCTGCAGGCAGATGGTTGCAGCTTTAGATGACGGAGGATTTTCATGTGGGATGAGCTGTGCTCGCTGATCATGTCGTGTCGTACGCTGTCAGCTGATGTTGTTTTATCTACAGATTCATATGCGCCAGTTTCATGGGACGCGGTACGCTGCTATAAACCCTGCCATGGTGAGCGCCGAGGAGCTGGAGATGAGCAGCAACCAGGACTCTGAAGACTGAGTGAGCTGGCGTCTCCACAGCTCGGGTCTTCCTGAGCAGATGTCACAGGACGCTGGCAGAGTTTCTGTGGAGTTCAGCAGCGAACCAGCACGCAACCTGAGATTATTTTTATTGAACACATGAAGCAATATTTTGATTAAAAAGACCTGGACATAAAGGGGACTTTTGCACTGCGCTTTGCTTAAAAACTTCTAACACTCGGCCTTATGTGGACTGATTCTGTCACTGTGCTGCCTGGACTGTCACACCTGTGGGACGGAGGGTAAAGCTAACAGCACCAGCAGTAAACTGGTGTCATGTTAATAGCAAGAACAGAAGGATTCATGGTGTATATCTGAAAATGTTTGTATAACTCCTGAAGATAAATGACGTTTCTGTCCAGTGTCTCTGTCACATGTACAGCTGTTTGTTTGTCTCATGGAAAATACACTTCACATGGTTTCTGTAACATGTCAGCTGTTGGACTCTTAAGTGACACACATGTTGTGGACAACTGCAGGCGTGAATGCACAAAGCTTTTCTAGCTCAAGTCATGAAAACGTTATCACCAGGACTCTGAAACCACCCGAGGATGACACAGTGCTTCTCAGCACATGCTGAGTGAGGAATCGTCTGAACACAGTCGTCTGTGGGGACGTCCAGCAGCATGTGGAGACCTGCCCTCTGCCTAACAGTGCCTTACAGCGTTTTTATAAAACATGCTTCTACACTGAAATCTGTGCAAAAGCTCGTGGTGCTGTCAGTAGACCTGCAGGGAAAAGCACATTTAGTTGGTTTTTATCAGATCTGACAGGTGGGAGACCAGTGGGACAGTTTCATGTCCCACTGGTCAGGGTTGAAGTTCCTCCTGCCCCCCACCTCTGTCGATCTTTATTCAAAGTAACTGCCTGAAAAATGTGATGAAGCGACTTCTGAGAGGTCTGAAACACAGTGAGTGCTGGGAGTGGTGCTGCAGTCACTGTAGCAGGAGACGCATCGCTGGACACGATCGCACTGAGACTGAAATAAACACGTTTCCGTGACGATGGCAGCTGCAGCCACTTCAGGTAAAAACAGTGTCAGCTGTCCAGATGCTGTAAACACAGTTGGGTCCAGAAATATTTAGACGGACATTTTTCTAACTTGGCTTCTGTACGTGATGAGTTTTACATTGAGCTAAAGCATTTCTTTGTAACCCATCTCTTCGTTTTAGGCGCTCAAAAGTAATCGGACAAATTAAATGACAGAAAATTGAAATTTCTAATACTTGGTAGAAAACCCTTTAAGTTTGTCAGCAGATGCTGGGTGTCCTCTTTGTGCTCTGCCAGGCCTTTACTGCAGTTGCTCTTCTTTTGTGGGTCTTTGTCTGAAGTTTCCTTTCAACAAGTGAAGATCAGGCAATCGAGGCCTCAGATTCTGTCACATTATCAATAAACACCAGTGTCCCAGTGCCACCCACTACCATGCATGTCCCAGTGCCATCACACTGCCTGGACTGTGTTTAGGGGCTGTGGCGTGCTCTGCATCAGGAGGTTTTCCACGCCATCACTCTGGTAGAGAGTTCATCTTCATCTGCCAAAGGATGTTTTTCCAGAGCTGTGCTCGTTTTGTTTAGATGATCTTCAATCTGGCTTTTCTCTTCCTGAGGCTCATGAGTGGCTTGCACTGCAGTCTTCTCTTTCTGGTACACTTGTTATTCCTCCTGGAGAGTTTTGTTCACTTGGTTGTTTCTCTTGACCGTGGGAATGATCCTCTACCACTGCTGTCTTCTGTGGATGTCCAGGTAATTTGCATTGCTGAGTTCACCAGCACTTTCTTTCTGTTTTGTTGATTTCAAGGAACACCAATTATTAGACCCTGTGCATGTTTACTCATTTAAAAGTGTCAGAAACACTGGCATTGATTATTTTACTATTTTGATTTTTGTTTTGTTTTCTGTAGTGATGCAGATGACATCACTTCTGTTCTGGGTCAATCTGACCTGCAACATAACAGGAGATGGTGTGTTTCACCTGCATGCAGATCTACTTTGACCTCTTGTTGCCTCAAATCAGCTCCAGCTTTTATCACAGTGATGACAGAACATACCCTGAAAGCTAAGACCAAAACATGTCTGTTATATAACTATAATTATATAACTATATTTAAACCCCCCCCCCCACTTGTCAGTGTCTAAACATATATATGGACCTAACTACATTCACCATGGCATTTAAAAAGGAGGTACGTTAGGTTTTGTTCTTCATTAATGGAACTGCACAGAGCTGGTCAACACGTTTGCAAAGACCCGTCCGACATGACGATGTGTTCCTTGTCCCAGGTGAGGTGCACATCCAGACAGAAGAGGATGGAAATGTGACTTTAAAATGTATTTTATTCATCCATTTCACAAAATGCATCATCAACCACACTGTTCTAAACATTAAACTGAGTTAATTTTTATTCCGTTTTCAGAACACGGCAAATAAAACTTTTCTAAACTAACTTTGTCACATCTGAAAATCTGAACTCATCGTTGTAAAAGCATCTGTGACCCTCAGCACGCTGCACCACCTCAGAATAAAACAAAACGTGGATTTAAATTGGTTTTTAAAAGCAGCAGCTCAGAATAAAACAGATAAAAGAATTTGTGCAAAAAGGACGGGTTCATCCAGCCGCTGGACGCCATCAGAGCTGATCTGCAGACCTGCCTGTGCACAGCTCCACACTGAATCAGAACAACACATTCCTGCAACGTTTATTTTATGGCAAAAAGATTAGTGTCATCATACACACTGGGCAGAAACGGCGAGGGGGGCGTGCTCGGTCACGGTGTCAGTAGCAGAAGGTGCCAAAATCGCCCACGCCGTTGCGCTTGAACTGGTTTCCTTGAAAGGACACAAAGACTTGGTGGTCTTTCAGATCCTCAACAGCTCGGCTGGACATCTCCACGTTCCTGCTTAGCTGACGGCTAAACTGCCACTTCCTGCCTGCAGACGCAGCCGCATCCCCGTCTGCGCTGTTCTTAGCAGACGCAGCCAAGAGAGGTAGCGAGGAGCTGCTGGTGGACGTGGTGTCGACAGGTGGTGTTGAAGATGAGGTGGAGATCAAGTGACGGTCTAAAGATCCTCCCTGCTTCTCCTCCTGTGTGTGTGGGTGCTCTGCGAGGAAAAGGCTGGTTATAGATCTGGGCTATCGAAGCCGCCTCACAGTACCACCTGACCCACCTTCACCTCTGCTCACAGGGATGCTGGGCTCCTCCCCACTGCTGGGTTTCACCAGAATCACGCCGTAGCCTTCATTGTTGTGGATCACATTGTTCTCCATGGTGATGGAGGGCATCGCATCCATCTGATCAGCAAAGTCCTGCACGCACACGCACACGCACACGCACACGCTGGGCATCACACCTGCAGCCTGCTTGTTGCCATGCAGCAGTGCTAACCACTGCACCACTGCCACTCAGAGCACAAGCACTGCTGTGTCCACAGTGGGGTAAAAGCACGACTAACACTACAGCATCAGTGATAACAGCTTTACAAAGGACGATGGAGCAGAAACATGAATATTGGTTAATCTCGTCTCACCTTGATGAGGATCCCGTCCTTACAGTGATGGATGCCGTTACCAACAAGGCTGCAGACGCTGCCGGGGTAAATCTCCACACCTGCCCCCTGCACACACACAAGGAGCAGCATAACCTCCAGTGTAACACACACTTCACAGCATGGCCATGTTTTTGTTTCCAGTAAACCGTGTGATGGGCGGAGTTCAGGTCTCACCTTGGAGCCGTACAGGTCGCACATGTTCATGGTGAGACGGGCAGATGTTCTCACGATGACTCCAGTGGTGTCACACTGCAGCACACAGTTCTCCATATTCAGAGTCCCCTGACGCACACCTGGCAAACCGGAACAAGAAGAAAGGCATCGTCACATCATCACTACACACCTCAACACAACACCACGCACCTAAGATCAACAACCTCCAGTCCAACTGACCACATGACCTAAACAGACCTGGGCAGTTTACACGGGCCACATACGTGTGTTGTAAACACAAATTAACAAGTGTTTATGCTGTGCATGCACTTTTATTTTGAAAACCCTCAACGTATTATCTGCTTCTGTCTGCACGGCGTCAGGTGATGCCAGCCTGGCCCCCTAAACATGTCGGTCATGTTTGACTTTGACTACTTTTCCCAGGCTGTGTTTGAGAGCTGCGCTGCACGTGACACTGCCCAGCTACTCGTCTTTGTACGTGCGATCACTGCAGACTTCAGAATCATGGAGGAGCTGGCAGCCATGCAGTCAATGAAAGGGACAGGAAGTGAGGTCTTCACAAAGTTAAATGCATGCTTGGAGAAGCTGCGACAGGTGTGAGAACAGATGGTTGACCAAGTCTGACAGCTAGAAACGTTGGACTTGATCAGCGCAGAGCACTGAATCAGAGGAAAACGTAAGCTACCAGCTGTCGGGTGGCTCGGCGTGGGAAAACTGCAAAGCAAGGGCCTTTTTGTGTGAGCAGAGCACAGTGCAGTGAGGGCTTTAGAGAGAGTTGCAGCTTCTCTTCAGCTGAATGTGGGACAATATTCTCACTCAGGTGCCAACACTGAGGGAAGCCACACCAGCTGATCACCTCCAAAGGTACTCGTCCATGTTGGAAGCATTGCATGGGGAGTTTTCAACACAGCCAAGAGTGAAATGCACAGTTTCTTCTCCTAGTCTGACACTAGAGCAGAGCAGCTTCGGTCAGTCCCACTGCCTGTGGTACAGACTTCTTGTCAGCCTGGCTACAGTGCTCGAGACAAACCGAGGGCTGCTTATATTTTCTTCAATTAGTGATGAAAATGAGTTAGATGTTCCAGCTTTAAGGAGAGCTTTTTTTATAACGCAGCAAACTGGCTTTCAGGGCTAAATGATGATCTTCTAAATTAGTGAGACATCATTTCCTGAGAATGATCTGTTTAAGGTGTGCGTTTGAAAGTTAGACAGAATACTGCACTTCTGATGCTTTGTTCACCCGCCTGTTAGTATATTTTTTTTGTATTTTGTGCTTTATATTTGTGATTATTATTGCTCTTAACTCATTCTGTGAACGACTTTGGCATACCTGTGGTTTTTTAAATGTGCTATATAAATAAAATTGTATTGTATTGTTCAGGAAAGCTGCAACAGAATGAAGTAATCAGCCCACGTCTGCACTTGTCTTAGTGTTTGCAGCTGGGTTTTTAAAGAGTAACGGTTACAGCGTCCCTCCTGTTTGAATATGACGCAGCTCAGAGCAGTAATACTCACACAGAACGCCTTCAATGGCATCGTGCTGGATGAACTTGATGTTGGAGAGTCTGACATCAGCGCCTGTAGACTCCACGAAGGAGTCCCCTCTGCTTTTCTTCTCAATCACCACTTCATCAGGAAACCCAAAGCCTGACACACACACACACACACGCACACACAGTTAAGGAAGCCCGTGAAACCACACAAAGTGCATTTCACACACTTTCCATTAGACGGTGGCTGCATGTAACTGTAACCAGGATCAAAGGAGATCTCAGCTGAGTCAGCAAACGTCACATTCAGGATGAAGAAAATGTGACAAAGATGGAAATGTGTGCGATCCAGCCTCAAACGTGTCAGCAGGTACAGACATTTACATCCGGCTCCACGTCAGCACCTTCATCGCTGGTTGTGCTTCAGAGTGACATCTCGTCTCCCTGAATGTGGACACATGGTGTTGCTATAGCAATAATAATGTTTGTA